TAGGCACTGCAGTCTTTGCAAAATGGAAATGTCCTGTGCTTTTCACCTTCTCCTAAACCCAGTCTCTCCCTGCTTCAGTAAGTGGCTGACTGTCGCAGTCCCTCTGTGTCTCTGTCTCTCTCACACATAGGTGCACAAGCGATGAGAGTGTAGATGATGGAAAGGAAAACATAAGGGTTTGTAGAAAATTCTGCAAAGGTTGTAAAATCACCAATTGAATTTTCAAGATGGATGGTTTCTTCCTAATTAGATTCTGCTGCCTTGTGTAAAACCAACTTTGCAGTTGCCTGCCTTTCCCCATAAAGTGAAGTGTTCTTCATTATTCAGGTTTACAAATCATGTGCCCGGTATACGTGTAGCATAAACAGCCCTCGCCTTTCCATTTGCTCACAGGGCAATGCTAACAATGTAGTTCTGCCTCACATGGTAATTTGCCCTTAAAATACACGAATTTGATTAAGCTGGTGCCTCTTCCAGTGTCCTCACAAGAACTTGTCAAACTCACCCTCGGAGAAGATGCAAAGTACAATTGGAAAGATCCAGGGGCGTACTTTATGCAGGCTGGTACCTTTTGGAAAAACAGGCTAGAGCAGCATGTCTTTAAGCATGATCTGTGGCCTGCTTGTGTCAGAAACACCTGGGGTCTGTGCCAAGATGACCACTCCTGATCCTTCTCCCTAAGACAGTCAGATCTAGATTCTTATATGAAAGAGCCTAGGAATCTACTTTTAAGAGTCCTCCAGTAATTCCACAGCAGGACAGCATTCCAAAGGGCCACTTTCAATGTATGCACTATTGCTCTATCTGGAGGCAAGGCCAGGAACATGACATCATCCCTGCTTGGCGAATGTTCTCCTGTCCCGAACCATACACTGCAGCATACTAATTCACAAAGGCTGGATCCCATGTTTATAGCTGGGCTGCCTGTCAGGTGGGTCCTTTCCAGTCTGGTCCCCCCTCACCCCTTGCGAGCCCAAAGAAACCACTCTAGACAGAAAGGGTGTGCATGCGGCTGAAGAGGGGGCAAGTGAAGTGGCCCTGAGCTCCCAGAAAACTACTTCTGGCCTGATTGAAACAGATGAGGCAAAACTGGCTAGCCAGACAAGGCACAGGCGCCAAAGAGAGTCTGGGGTGTTGCAAAGCTTGCCAAGGCTAAGCGTGGTCCTCTGATGGTGCAGCAGACAGGGTGGCATCCCAAGGCTACTGAACCGCATGCAGAAGGTAGAGTAGGGCCAGGGCTGACATCTGATCTAGAAAGTACTTTAGTTCTGCAGCGAGCTCTGAGCTCTCCCAGACACAATGTAATTTATCTTTATCCCAATACTTTAAAAATACAGACTTCAAACTCTTACCCAAGACTAAGAAAATTGGGCCTCCTGGGGTGGAAGCCCAGCATCCCTGAATGAATCTGTGGAAAGGTCTGAATCTACTGCTGCTCCAAAATGCATCTTTCTATGTCTCCTGGAGATTTAAACCTCCACTCACAAAAAAAAAAAAAAAAAAAAGAAAAGAAAAGAAAAGAAAAGAAAGAAAGAAAGAAAGAAAGAAAAGAAAAAGAAAAAGATAAAGATAACTTCAAGGAATGCTTTACAGGTAAAGAAATTCTGATGGTTGGAAGTTCTCCCTAGTGTCAAACCGTATCTCTAGCCCTCATGCTAAGATGCACAGATCTCTGAATTTCCGCACTGAGAAAGCAGATGAGTGTAGTTCAGTTTCAGTCAAACCCCCACATCCTCAGAGAGAAGTTGGGGCACGGAAGAAAAAATCTCACTCGAAAGGTCAGCAGAGGCACTATTCCTCACCTTGTGCCAGGGGGCTGTGGCTGCCTCCCAGTGGACACACCTCAGTCCAGCACTGTACCCAGGATTCTGATCCCAAAGCTGACACCCTAACCTCTGCTCAAAGGAGAAGGGATAGGAGACTAGATGTTTCAGACTCCCAACCTCCACGTCTCAATTCTACACACAAAGTACCTGGATATCTTGGCAAAATGTAGAGTCGTGGAGCTGGGGGAAGCCTGAGATTCTGCATACTTGTAGGACATTTCCAGGTTCAAATATGCACTTTTAAAAATCCATAGTGGTGAGGTGAGGAAGGCCCTGGTTATTTCTGATAAGAATAGGACTCTGTTATCTGCTAGAAAGATTGTTGCCAAGCCTCCAACTCCTCAGGGGCACCTACCTGTCTTCCTCTGGGCACATGGGGTGAACAGAACAGGAAGCTGGGTGGACTTTTTTACTCACTGCATTAATCCTGTGACTCTGATGCCACAGCTCAGCCCTGAGAGCTGGGGACAGGAAGTGCATCCTCTCTAAGCCAGGTTACGTGTCATTTTCTTTGACCTCTGTAGAGAAGAAACAGGGTGTGCAGTTTGCCAAAGAGGAGGGAGTAGAGGACACACTGCCCATGGCAATGTGTCCTCTGCTCCACACTGCACAGCTCTGGGTCCAGCCTGTGCTGGGTTGGTGTGATCATCAACCTCTCAGGGAATGACAGAGACTCTCTGTTCTCCTTGCCTAGCTCAGCCTGATGAAATGCTCGCTCTGGATCTGATCACACTCCATGGTGCCCAGCTCTGGCCAGCATAGCTGTTTGACTTGGAATCTCCTCTCCATGGTCCTGGCCAGGTGCACATTTTCCCATGGAGCTGAAATGTCCTTTGTTACTGGACAAGGAGGGTGAGGCATGGCCTGAGGACATGGCAGCTTCCTGGGTTCTCCAGATTCTGCCTGGCCTTAAGCCAGTGCCAGTACTTTGCCTGACTTCCTTTCCCCGCAAGCTCAGCCTCTTAACTCAGTTCCAAAAGATGTCTCGAAACCACTTAACTTTACCCTGCATCCTCTGTAAAGAATTTAAACTAAATACTCATTGGTTAATACAGATTCTATATTCCAACAGGGATTTCCAGTTTCTTGAATTCTGAACTGCAGGTGGCCTTAGAGATAGTCAGTCCCAATAGCAAGTTGTGACTGACCTTTAAAACAAAATAAAAGAGAAGCTAATCAGAAGTACCAAAGTGGGTCTCCTGTAGTAAAGGCAAGTAACATTTCATGAAACCTTTCAGCACCCTCCCCCCCCCATACACACACATACTAGATGGATAGATAGATAGATAGATAGATAGGGATTGTAAAGTGAAATGTGTTCTCTCTGGCAAGTCACAAACACAAAATCTGAAAAATGCCAATCCCATTCACTTGTGTGGTCAATAAAGAAATAGGCACAGAGAGGGAAGGTAAGTTTTCTGAAGTCACACAGCTCGTCCATGGCTGTGCCCAGCTAAGAATCCCATGTCTATCTGTCTCCTCCAGGGCACTGCTCTCCACCACCTGCAGTTCTCTGGTTCTGTGCCCAGAGAGCATGCCTGCAATAAGACTGGCAGTGACCTTAGCTGGGTTCAACAGCTGAGGGCTGGCTTGATCAGTGGACTTGAGGCAGGTGTGGCCAGCAGGGGCATCCACTGGGGCATAAAGCGGCCGATCCTTGGCTGGGATATTTCTGCACAACAGCCAAGAGTGGTCTTGACTTTCATCTTAAGAACTTTCAAAGCAATTACTAAATGAGGGCAGGAGCACTTCTCAGGCGGCTCTCAGCTGGACATCAGCATGAAGAGGCTCTGAGAGGCTCTCTAGCACATGAAGCGTCACCTCGCAGGAGGCTGCGGGCAGAGCTGCAGAGCCCACCACCCCACCCTTCCTAGACGCAGCCACCTTCCTTAGAGGAGAAGAGATCCATTCCTTCTAGAGGGGCCCTTCAGCTCTGCTGTGACTCATCCAGGACTCAACATGGGGTCAGAGGGACTGTGGGTGAGGTGTGGTCAGCAACTAGTCTAGCTTCCTTGCCTTCAAGCCAGAAACCAGAGCTCAGAGAGCCAAGACTTGAACAGGGTCATTGTCTGTGGCTCCTAACTCCCAGCCTCTACTGCTCGCTCGGATCATCTGGATGTTAACAAGATGTTTGCATGCTAAAAACAAAGCTCCTAGATGTCTTACAAAATTCAGACTCATGGGGCCAGGTGAGGCCTGGGAGTCTGCATGCTCCTACAGCAAATACTGGTGCTATCCTTGCCGCTCGTCCACTATTACACTTCTACATCCTGCTGTGCAGAAAGAGAAAACAAACTTAACTGTACCTCTCTGTGTCAAAACTCAAACATTCTACTTCAGCTAGATAAATCTTCCACAACTAACAAAGACACTCAGTTAAGACAATTACTATTCTCTTGGCATTCATTGGTTACTTGTATGTGAGAAATGTTTTCAACACCTCATATACTGCATGGAACTCTGTGAGAGACAGTATTGTAGACAAGGAAACTGAGGCTCAGACAGCTGAAGTAATTTGGCTTAAATTGTGCAGCCAGTAAGTAGCAGAACCAAGGTTTAAGCCCAGCTCTGCCTGGTTCCATGGCTCACCTGGTGACAGCTGCACACAGGAGTTCCTCTTGTCCTTCCCTTCCCCTGGGTTGTTCTCCACAATGCTCTGACCATCCTCAAGCCACAGTGTGACTCCCCAGCCTCAACTTCCCAAGAATGCCGAAGAATGCTGGGCCCAGAGCACAGTGAGAGTCCATCTGGAGTTAGGGGAGGCCCAGAATGCTGGGGCTTCCTGCCCACCACTTTTTGGCCACCAGGCTGTGATTGCTAGCTGCCACTTACGAAGCTGTGCGTTTTAAAGCATTTTACCTACCCTTCCTGGACCATGATTTCCTCATCTGTAAAATTTTGGCAATACTAGAGCATTCCTATTCCCAAGGGTCACTGTGAGACTCAAAGGAGCTAGTGTACATACAGCATTCAGAACAGCACCTAGCATCCAGTCAGTGCTTAATGCATGTGACCAAGGCTTCAAAGTGACAGAGTGTGAAAGCCACAGGACCCTGCCTCCACTTGGGTAGGTATTGATAAGAGGGGTCACAATATGTTTTGGGGGAAACATAAGAGAAAATGTTTCTGGTCTCCACACATAGCCAGAGAGAGCTGTCGAGACAGGCTACCCACTTTTTAAGGGCGCATTCTAGTTCGTTCTTCTCCTCGTGGGCTTCTTGGAGCTGGGAGAAGATCCTAGTCAGGAAATCTTCGAAACTGGACAGCAGGTGAGGCTCATCTTTCTTCAGCTGCAGCCAGAGTTGTTTGACATCACTTTCACTGGGAGAGAAGGAGGGAGTTAGGTACAAGCAGAAGAATGAGGTTCTGTGGGAAGGAAACAGAAACATAAGCATGGCAGTGGCTGTGGTTTATAGAGTGTCTGGTGTATGTGAGCTCCTTTATGCACATCAGCTCACTGGTCCTCAGCAACTTTCGGAGCCGGTTACTCTATAACAGATGAGGACCTGGAGGTAGACAGGACACAGTTACTGCTGGGACCGATGGAGTCAGGTCACACTCCAGGTGCCCCAATTCCCACATCAGCCTCTTAAACCCACTTCCCTCCACAGCTTCTGTTCTCCAGATCCCTCTAGGAGGGTTGGAGGTGCTGAGCACACATAGAGAGGCATCCACCGCATCAAAAAACAAGCACATCACAACACCAGGAGGAAGAGAGGAGGCTAGGCGCCAGGGCGAGTGAAGACAAAGGCTGCACAGCTAAAGGAGAAAGCTGTCACCCAGAGAAGGATGGTCCTCACCACTGAGAGGCAGATGTGCCATCAGGTGGGTGGCTGGACACAGCTGTCACTGCAGGGAAGAGAAGGGAGTATGCTGTACCCACTGGGGTGTGCTGATGCAGGGGGTGACTGCACCAGGAAGGGAATGAGCGAGTCTGAATGACATGGGGAAGTTGGAGGATCCAGGGGCAGACAGAGACAAGATAGAGTGACAGATCTAGAAGCTTCCCCCAGGAACAGGCACAGGTGGAGCCTGCAGTAACAGCAGAGATGGACGGTGGGCCCCACTGATCATGGAGGGCCCTGGAGAGGAGCAGCAGCCTGGGATCTGCTCTCCCTTCCCCAACAGGGAAACTACACCAGTGGTCAAAGTAAGTCACACATAAATCTGATTTGTGCCCCACTGAATTCTCAAACAGATCTGAGACTAGCTATGACCTGGGTGCCTCAAAATAAAAAGTAAAATCCTTCATGCTTATGTAATAAGTGCTGTATTTCCAAAACTTGCCTGGGAAGTAATATTTGATAGGCCCACGTTATCAGTGCACTTGGGCATAGATATTACTCTCTGTATTCAGCAGAAAAGAGGCCTTGTGCCTGATCACCCCCTGTCTTTCTTTCCTCCTCTTTTCCTCTGGACTTTGCTCCTTTGCTTCCTTCCTTCCTTGTTGCCATCTCATACATTCATGCTCATTGAGACCATCCATCCATCCATCCATCCACCCAACTGATACTGATTATCACCTATTATAACCTTAGTACTGTACTGAATGACATCAGGGAATCTGGGGACAAGAGAAAGGAGAAAGACAATCTCTATTTTGCCAAGAGAGTTCCATTTTCCTCATACAAACCACCCTGGGGGGTGTTCCCTGGAATGAATGAACACCATGTAAGTGGCACAAATGGCACAAATATTACAAGGCCTCAAAGAGATACCCTAATGGCCTCCTGCTCTGTGGTTGTTCCCTGTGGTCCAATTCATACATTGAAATTCTGGCCCACACGATGATGGTGTGAAGAGATGAGCCACTAGGGGCTGAGCAGAGCACAAAGACAGAGCCCTTAAGGGAAGGATTAGCGCCCTTGTAAAAGAGGCCCAAGTTCATCTTTTCTACTCTAAGAACTGCTATTTGTGAATCAGGAAGAGTGACATCACCAGATACCAAAGCTGCTGACTTTCCAGCTTCCACTAACCCACCAACCTGACAAATCACTCAGTCAATCAGACCGCCAATAAAAAAGTGGGAGTGCAGAGATTCAGTCTATTACTTCTGGACACATCAGGGCTACCTCTCTTGGAAGGATGCAGGAGGCTACAAAGGATACTGAGAATCTTTCTTCTAGAACGGCACACGAATAATTCTGATAAGCACAATTTCTAGACACCTCTGAAGTCTTCATTCTTGAGAAGCTTCTTCTCTTGTCTTATCTGGTGGTCTCCTGGTCAGGGCTGGTTCCCTCATGGTACAGTGTGAGCTCACATTAGTGACGGGGAAATTTTTGACCATTCCCTTCTATAATCAGATCTTAGAGATGACTCTCAAAACCTCCCCCAAAGTTTTCATTTCCACATAGTCCATGTTGGCTCCCCAAGGTTTCATTTTCAGACAGTCCACGTTGGCTCGGTTCTGTACAAGCCTCTGACACAAGCCCTCAGAGCAGAGGCTGATGAATTCTGACTTGAAATCCCTGCTGGGAAACTGGCTGCCCTGAGAGGAGGTGAGGGACAAGACCTTCATTTTCATGGCAGTTCCCTGGCTTGCTTACTGCACTGCCCTCTCCTCCCCACTCCCCAACAGGAGGCTTCATCAGGCCACTGACGGTGTCACTGTGTTGTGGTCTCTCATTCTAGCTAGAGATCAGTCAGTTATGTGACCAAGGGGTTTCCCCAGCAACCACCTGTGTCCCTGGTGTGGTGTGTACCAGCTCCGCCACCCCAGCCAGCAAAGTGGCTGCTCTAGGCACAGGTGCTGGAGAGAAATTGCAAGCCCCTCTCCTCTGGGGCCCCTTCAGGCTCCCTCCAGGCCTTCGCCAGGCCCCTTCTTGCCTGGTGCGCACTTTTCTACCAGACCATTTGCTGAAAGATGCACACAGCTTTGGGTATATATTGTGTGTGGGCTTCCATCTGGCTCCTTCTTCATCATTTCTCACCATGGTCCTCCTCCCAAGCTCAAGAAACAGCAGCTCCAGTCATGAGGCTATTTCCACCCTGCATGAAACCTCAGACCAACCCTACACCCAAACACCAAAAATGACCACGATAAAGATGATGGGCAAAGGGCAAAAGTGCTGCATGCTGTTCAGGCCCAGTGTCTTGTTTCTATCAGCAATAGCATCACATTTTATTATTTTGCTTTATTTTCTACTTGATTTTAAATGCCAGGGTCCAAGTCCACGTGTCTCTGTATTCCAAATCATTTTGGGGGGTGGGGTGGGAAACAAAGGTATATTGTTTTATTCAAGTTCAGCCATCTAAAATGTTCAGCTGAGCTACTGAGGATCCAAGCTGAAGGCTCATAAAACTGGTTAGTTTCCCAGCTGTTCTTCCTCACCGAGTTTGGTTTACACAGGGACTGGCTGTGCACAGGCTTCTGCTTGAGGGTCCTCTGCCAGGCACAACCTGGTTGGGAGCTGGGATGCACCGTGCACTGCAACCTGGAGACTGGGTCCAGCTCCACTGAAGGTGGGAATGCGCCGATCTGATGGCGCCAGGAAGCCTAGGGGAGAATTCCCCAAGAAGCCTGAGAGGTGCACAGCCTGACGTGAGAGCAGCATTAGAGGCAAGGCAGCTCTGAGGTCTGTGGTGATCATGCGGAGCAGGGAGTGAGGAGAGAGGAGAGGATGGGGGAGGAGGAGAAGGGGAAGGTCTGCCAAAGGAAAAATTAATTGCAGAGACACAGTTGACACATAACAGGTTCGGCAAAGGACAGGTGGTAGAAAGCAGGGTCCTCTCTCTAGCACCAAACATGGAGCTGGCACTGGGGCTCTTAGTGAGGCAATAAGCAGGCTGGGCTCATTCCCAAGTCCCATCCCCACTTACTCCTCCAGCACCTTCTGGGCTCCGAGTTTGTCCATCAGCATCTGGAACTGGGCTTCCTCATCCTGGTCCACATCCCCCAGGTCCCTGTCCCCTCTGGACTGGTACACCTTTTCCTCCTGGAGTTGGGCCACCTGCTCATCTTCGTTCTCCTGACTTGAGTTACTCTGACTGAAGAAGTGCCCTGGGGTGGCAAGTATAGAGATCTGAATTACATAGTCCTCACTCAGGAAGAGCGTAGCTTTTTCTGTAGGTGGGAACCACTTGAGGTTCATCAGAAGGAAGCAAAAGGGACATTTCACATTGCAAAGCTGTAGCACTCCATGGCTCAGATTTCACATTGTTTGCACGTCCGTAAGCATTCTGCAGAGATGCTAAAGACTGGGAAAATCATGCAGTGTGACAGGTATAAGGCCTCTCTCTCTCGTGGTCCTCACTCAGAACACAGCTCTTCACTGATTTCTCTGAATGTGGGACCCTTCCCTCTATCCTTTCCAGCAGCTGGCTGCCTGTCACCCCCCGCCCCCATCCCTCTGCTTCACACGGATGACTTGCTTCCTCCACACTCAGGTTGCCTGGAGTACAGAAATCTGTCTTATCCTGATGTCTGGAAAGGCATCTGAGATTTCTGCTTAAACTACATGGTCTCTCACAAGAAGCTGATACATGGTATGGGTCTCAGCTCTGCTTTCCCCTAGTTACCCTGAGTATGAATGCTTTCTTCAAAATTTCGAAAAGTTCCTCTAACAGCTAGTCTCCCTCAACTCTGAAGACTCAGCCAGGTTTGGGTTGGAATGAGCCATTCAATCATCCCATCTTTTTGTCCAGGGCAGGAAATCTGGTAGTCTGTGGTCTGCAGACCTGTAGAGGCTGGGAATGCAGCTTATCACAGCTTTAGGTAACCCATCACTCCATGATCCCCAGCTCCCAATGGCACTTACTAAATCCAGTAGCAAACTCCTCTGGGGTCAGAAAACCATTGCCGTCAGCATCCAGTGCATCAAACACATCCTCCAGGTCCTGCAGGCTGAGGGGCAACTCCTCATGGAGCCTCTGAAAACAATGCAGACTCACTGGTTAAGGTCCTTTGGTGCCAGAGGCTGGTCTTGGGCTCATCTGCCAAAAGACACTTGGAGTTTGGCCGTGCCTGAAAAAGCCAGGGGTGCACTTCTGCATGTTCACTGTCTTACCATCGCCTCGTCCCTTGCACATTAGGACAGATCCCATTGACTGGGTGCTGACTAGGTCACTAGGTGGTCTATAAGTAAATGTATGAATGTGCACACATGTATGTATGTATGTGTCATTCTATCTAATCCATCTGTTTGTCTATCTATCTCTCTACCTATCATGACAACACTTTGAGACAGGCACTGTTACCCCCATTTTACAGACAAAGCCTGTCCCAAGGTCAAACAATGACTCAGGCAAACCTAGGTCTCACTCCAAGGCATCGTTGTCCTCAGTGTCTACAGTGGGCCAAGACTGCAGGGGAAGAAACCCAGGGGCAAAGCACTGCATGGCACAGTGTTGAGCAGTTGCAGGAGATCACAGGGGTAAACAGAAGACACAGTGAATCCGGAGGGACAGCAGGGAAGGAAAGACAGTATCACAAGACACTCAGTGAGCAAGCACAGAGCCAAACTTCCCTGCCCTGAGAAAGCACCTCCCGCCTGCCAGGCTGTGTCACTGCTGCTCCTACCCTGGCGGGGGCATTGCTCACTTCCAGGTGCCTTCCTAGACAGAGGCCTCCAGAGTGTCAGCACTGCTGTACAGGCACCCATGGACCTGTGCTGAGTCCTTCTCCCCATGCTCCGAATTCCTTACCCCATCTGGAACCCACTCCTGTCCCCTCCCAGCCAGCCACAAATTCCTGGTAAGTTAACCACCAGAGGCATTAGGTATCAGTCCCCCAGAAGTATCTGGGGTTTAAAGGAGGATTGGTAATAGGTGCACAAGGTCATAAGTAATCGTGGCCCTTGAGGAGAAGGAAGGGCAGGGACCCACAGATCGCAACGGGGCAAAAGGGCTGAGCTGTTGCCACTGCCCTCTGGCCTTCTGCTGCAAGTGCCTCTTCTACCTCAGTCCTCTATGTTCAGATGAGGACTTCCCAAGAGACCTCATTATGTCTCAGGTCACTGTTCCTCTTCCTGCCAGTTACCAAAGGGATGAGGGATGGCACAAAGCTGCTTCTGCAGAAATGACTGATGGCTGAAGACCATAAACACTGACTTTTGCAGAAAGGCATCTATCTGCCCATCAGAGAAATTGAAGAGCCCTTAACATCACTGGCAGCAGTGATCCTACAGCTACTTTCTGGATGATAAGCTAGAGTTTAATTTGGCACATCCTGCATTAAAGGAGCAGGGGGTGTTATGGAGTGGGGAGAGAGGCTGGAGTGCAAGCCACTTGGAAAGACTGAACTAAATATGAAGGCAAGGAGAGCAAGTGTGTACAAAGACCTTAGAAGTGTGTCTGCCTGGCATCTACCTCTGGCTTATCAACATCCATAAACCAGCTGTCTCAAAAGTCACAAGAACACTGGCAGAGAAGAAATCAGTTTTGCAAGCTCGAAGTGACTATCTCCAGTCATACCTGGGGATTCCAGGCCTTTCCTTATGATGAGCCTTCCTCCCACCAGGATTGCTGGACCTGATGAAAATGTGCTAGGGATGAGCTGGAATAAATTCCGGAGGACAGTGGGACCCTCAATGTGCCTCTCACCCAAACCACCCCACACATGGGCACCTTCTTCCCTGCTGGCATGAACTGGGGAAAGTTATTGCAGATCTCACTGTTGGCATGCTCCTGAATCTCACAACATTTCTGACCAAACTCCTGCCCACTGTCTAATCCCAACCCCTCCCACTTCCTCTTTCGGCTGGCAGTGAAGATGGGAGCAGCCACACTGTCTTCCCAGTAATCCTCACTCTTCCTGTCCTGGCACTCGGTGCCCACTGCCTTTTGTGCAAACTGCACTACACCAGCTTCTTTCATCTTTTTCTGTTGGCCCCACTTGAAAAGTATTTTAGTTTTAATAACCATAATTATCTCTTATTTATCTTTCTTCTCAGGGCTTGCAGTGCCATGCAAAAATCAATTTATTCTGGTCTGGCCCCCTGGGCCTTTGGCACTGTCTACATTTTTAACTGAGATAAGTAGGGTGGAGGGAAAGAAGATTATTTATTCCACGGTGGTGGTAGGGCTCTGAGATTTGCCTGCAGTGGCCGTGGAGACCACAGTAGGGAGAAAGAGCCAGTTTCCCACTTGGGGTGTGAAGAACGGTCCAGTGATTTCCCACTGTGTTCATCCTCACCTGCATCACCTGTTCACGCCTACGCTTATCACACCAAGGCCCCTTTTGCCAGCCTACCTTTGCACACATCCAGGGAGCAGGCAGGGGGAAAGGAAGAGAAATGAGAGGAAGGCTGTGTGTACGCCTCTAGTCTGAGGCTGAAGGGCTCCTTGACACACCAGTCTCCCTACCCATCTCCAACCCTTGATTCCTTTTCCTCTCTTGCTCCTCCATCATTTCCTAAAGCTCCCCAGGGTGGGGTGGCACAGGGCACACCGGCTCCCCAAACCTTAATCTCTCTATCACAATTCTTATCTCAATCTGAGTTGGGCCCTCAGTCATTTTTGCTCACTATCCTGACCCCAATGGCAGTCACATGCTAGCAAAACATAACACTTCAGTATTTAGTATGAGAGGTGGAAGGAAATCTGCCACTCACACCTAGGGAGCACTATGTTTGGACCTCAAATGCTCCATATCCTGACCAGCTCGTCTGCTGACTCCAGCAAGGTCTCACAAACTGGAACTTGCAGGATCTGGAGCTGCCACAGTACTGAGGGCAAAGGCTCTGGAGCCATGAATACCTTTTGATATGCTCCAGGCAGATTCTGTGCCCTCCTGGCCACTGACTGGTAAGCATGACTCACATAGCTTAAAGCACATGGCTCTGTGACCTATAACATGCTCAAGCAAAACTTCATTAAAGAGAAAACCAGAGGAGATGCATTTCCATGGTCAGAACTGAACCCTCCCTCCTGTGGAAGCACCACAGCTCAGCCATGCCAAGTATCTTCAGGAGAAGAGTGGAGGACTCAGGGGGTACAGCCACCTGTATCTGCTTTGTGCTTGGGTTGCCTCATAGCTTGATGTAGACCAATGTTTTCCAAACCCTGTACTTCCAGTACCTGGGAATGGACAGTTCTTCGTTGGGGACAGTGAAGGGAGGGGAAAGTAGGAGACAGGGTGTCCTGTGCTTTCTAGGATACTCAGCAGCAACCCTCACTTCTGTGTTCTAGACATTAACAGGATCTCCCTTTCCTATCATTTTGCTTAAAAATGTCCCCAGACACTATGAAATGTCCTCTGGCACAAAGTCACTGCTCCTCACATAGCCTGGATAAAAGATGAAGCTGCTGGAGACAAAGCAACAGGACAGTGCCCCCCCCCCACAGAAGTGTCCTGTCTTCCTCCCAGGTAGGATAGATTGCTCACACCTAAAATCATATGGAGTGGTCCAGCCACCATGGAAAATGGGGTGATGGTTTCTCAAAAATTTAGAAATAAATAATCCAGCACCTGGGTATGGATCTAAAAGAAAGCAAAAATAGACAGTTGGACATGCCATGTCAAGAGCAGAATTTTTTTACAAATACATAAGGGGCAGAAGCCACCCAAAAGTCCATCAACTGAAACAAAACGTGGCCAGTACACACACTGGCATATTCAGCCTTAAAGAAGAAGAAAATTCTGACAGTTCTACAACACTGCTGAGCACGGGACATTACACTGCGTGAAATAAGCCTGACCCAGGGGGCAGAAACTGTATGTAGTGAGATTCCTAGAGGCAGAAAGCAGACAGTGATGTCCAGGGCTGGGGGAGGGATAAAAGGAGACTTACTGCTTTGCAAGGTGAAACGAGCTCTGTGGATGGATGATGGTGATGGGTGCACAGTAAATGAATGTGCCCAACTCCATGAACAGGTAAAAATGACTGTGATGGCAAATTATGTAATGTATATTTTTTCACAATTTTCAAAAATCACAATGCGCCCTCCCACTAGGCTGAGACATGCGTCTCTGCTGTGTTGATGGAGAGATTTTCAGGTCTGTGAGTTGGGCTTCAGCGCCCTAGTTTGTCAGCTCACTTCACTCTGCTCTGCTGCCGGGAGGTGGCGATGATGCCCTCGAAGCCCATGAATCACAGCCTCAGGCGTCAGGAGACTTACATGGTTCACATGCCGGCGTGCCACAGATCCAAGTCAAAACCCAAGACAACCAACCACAACATCGACAGCTGACTGTTACCCTAAAATCAGAAGTGGGCTAGTTCCTTCCATGAAGGGCCCGTGTCTGTCCTCTGGCCTGTGTAGGCACTGACTCTGTCACTAGTACTCAAGTCTGTCACTGTGGTGTGAAGGCAGCCAGGGACATGGACAATGGAAATGAACAATCACAGCTATGTTCCAATAAAGCTTTACTTGTAAGAACAGGCCATGGGCCAGATTTGGTTAGTTTGCCAACCTCTAAAAGAATTCTCAACAGTCCGGTTTAGCCAAGAAATCTAGTCAGCACTGAGGAAGCAGATACTGGAGTTGGTGTTGGCGGACAATCGTTTTACTTAAAAAACAAACAAACAAACAAAAAAAACCCCCACAAAAACAACAACGAAAAGAATCTGGAGAACAAAACAAGGTTTTACAGGCTCTAGGTTTGTTATCTATCCTTCTCTCTCTGCCAGTTCATGGAATCCTTTGCAGTTCTGCCTGCCTGTCGCTCTCTGCGTGTCTTCCTTTTTCCCTGAGGCAGGGCTGGCTGTCACTTGGGGCCCTCAGCCCCACGATTCTCTAGGGTACTGCACTAGACCCCAGCCTGAAAGGAATACCTACCGCAGCTTGCCAGGATGGGTCAGCACAGCACCTGAAGGACAGTGAGAGGCCAAGGGCCTGCCAAGGAGGCTGTAGACCCTATGCTGCCACACAGATCAACTTCCATCACCAGTGTCCCTGCAGCAGATGGTCCGTCCACACAGGGACCCCAGTACATGACGGCTCATGCTCCTAACTTTTACCTGCCAACCACCTCTGGTCTTCCAAGGAGCCACCAGGGACCCTGACTTTAAAAATCCCCAGGATTAGGATGGAGTACAGCCCAGTGCCTAGAATGCGTACAGCCTTGAGTTCCAACCCCCTCACTAAAATCAGTTTTACATGTGATCACCAAACCTTGCTTCTCCTGTGTGGCCTCTGCTTCCGCCTGTGCCCTGCAGGGCTGGCTACTTGGTAATGGGCATAGACCCTTTCCTAACCTCTAGGATGACTGCATACTCAGTCTTGCTGTATGCAGATGTTTTTCTTTCTTTTCGTTTATTTACGAAAGAGAAAAAAGAAAAAGAGTCCCTGATTCATCCTTTATTAAAACAACTGGGGTCTCTAGGATTTTTCCTCCCTCTGCCCCTCCCTGGCACTTGTCCTCCTACTCACCTTCAGGCTCACAGGACAAAGCAAGCTCCCCTGCTTGCTGACCTAGGAGGGAGCTGAGGCTGAGGAATGCAGGGATGCCCAGGAGCTGGACGCTGGGCACAGTGGGTGACCATACCCACAGCAGCTGTGGGATCAGAGGTAAGGTGCCCTCGGATCTGCTCCAGGGACACCATTGGCCACGTGCACTTTCCCCAGGAGCCAGAGTACCCTGTGAGGGGACTGCTCTCTTCCTCAGCATCTTTTCCTGCAGACATGGCCAGCACACATGACTAAAGGGATGGAGCCTAGTCAAAAGGTGTGGAGCACTTTCTCAGCCTGAAGAAGAGAAGACTACAGTTGCTCCATTGCTCACAGGTAACAGCAGAACCTCAGAGAATCAAACAGAGAGTAGAAACAAGTGCCAGAGGGCTCCCTACCCTCTGCCTGGGTCAGGAGAGGGAAGGCTGAGGAAGAAAGGAGCTGAGCTGGCGTCTTGGGAGTGAAGTTTCCCAGGAGCACAGCACGCACAGCCCTGCTGTCCTCTCCCTACCCTGCTTCCGGGAGCTGAGATAGGTTAAGTGACTTCCAGAAATGCCCTCCTCTCCTGTGGAATGTGACACTGCTCCCCCTCCAGCGCCACGTGGCAGAAAGGACTTCATTATAACCCGGTATCTCTGTGAAGCGGTGAGTCAATGCTTTTCTACCCATGGTTTTAGGGGCTCCTTCTCCTTGCCCTATCTAAGTCCTTTATGTCACCATCACCATTTCCTAAAACCCTGGGGAGCCACTGAGTCAGAGAAGCAAAACTACCCAAGACAGGCAGCAAGTAAAGGCCTGACATGGAAAGAGCCCAGGAGATTCAACCCTTATGGCTCCTTTTGGGGCAGGGTGGATGTGGTTCTTTCTGTGAAAAGCATCACCCCACAAGGGAAGCCCTGGCCCAAGACAAAGAGTAGCCTGTCCTCCGTTGCTCCAAGTGCATGCCCAGACCCTCCTTACCTGCATGTCTCTCCTGGCAATGAAGCCCTTGCCCTCCACATCACAGGTCTGGAAGAATTCCTGTGCCTTTCTCAGCATAGCCAACTGGCTGGCTACCTGCTCCTGGGTCAGGCAGGCCCTGCTCCGCTTCAGGCCCCAGCTAGGACTCCGGGGCTGGGAGTCCTCCTTCCTGTCAGGACAAGCCATCCCGATCTGTGAATTCCTTCCTCTTTTCAGAACCTAAATATGGAAGATGAGAGAGAGAGGTGATGTGATGGGGATGGAGAGGCTGAAGAGAATCAGAGGACAGGGCATACAATGAGGCACAGTGCTCCCCACTGGTGTGTCCTGACATCTCTCAGCAACCACCTCTTAATTAGCAACTCAGGGTAAGGGAAATGTGCTTGGCGGTGCTAAGCCCATCTAAAGGGGAGAGGAGAGCAGATAGCAGACATTTCCAGACTGAAAGGTGGTATGGTGGGCCTGAAAACAATTTTCTCTAACTCAAGCAACAGCAAGACTAAAGCAACCACATAAAACTAACAGATCCTGATAAAACAGATGACGCTCATCATTTCCTAGATGCAGGCACCGTGTTGTGGCCTCCACATATATTGTTCATGGAATTTTCATAACCCTCTCAGATATATATTATCATCTCCATTTTGGAATAGTAGAATAGGACCATTTTAACAATGAGAATGTTGGAGTTCAGACAGGTTGTGACTTTCCCAATACTACATAGTAAGTTAGTGCAAAAGCTGAGATTAAATCCAAGCTCTTATAACATGTACAATTGTAGTCTTGATCCCACTTTTTCCATGCTAACTATGCAGCATGGCCTTGGGTAAAGACTGCTCCCCACCCAGATACATTATCTCCTATGCCACTTGAAGCTTCCAGCTTCTAGGGAGCTGTTTCCTGCTATTAAAGACCTCTCTCTGGCAGAGCCTGAGCTCTGCAGTTCAGGCAGGAAGAGATATCCCCCATTCACAGGGAGATCCCTGTATGTGTTGAACTCTCACCAGGCTGGATTTAGTGACAGTCCAGGCTGCATTCAGCCTAAGCAGAATCACCAGTCAATACCTAGTGCAGATTCTAAAGATGCTTCTGGAGGGTTTGCAGGAGCTGCTTGCCAGGTGATAGGAAGAAGGCACACAGAGCCTGGATTCCAGGCTGGACCCCCTGTTCCTCACATGGCCCTAAGCAAGTCACCACCAGTCTAGCCTTGACTTCTGCATCTGCTCACAAAGAGACTGCAGGCATTTGTCTTTAACCCCCTCCTAGCTCTGACAGTCTATGTTTGGGGAATTCCAAAATTGTAATACGTTCTTAGTGAAAAACCTTAGTTAATGTGACAAAAGAAAGTCATAACATACTTGAATTTTTCATCTGAAGACTCTCTAGAGGTAGAAGTCTGAATTTTAAATACATGATAACATTTAAACCTAAATATGCACATAGCTGGAGAGCATGATGCCATGGATCCAATCTCCTGTGCTCATGGAATAAAATGGCGGGAAGTCACGATGGCAAAACTCTCTATCAGATATATGTTTTGTAAATACTTTGCCCCTGTTCATAGCTTCCTTTTCTTTCTCTTAGATGATGTGTTTCAAAGAGTAGAAGTTTAAAATTTTGGTAGAGTTCAATGTTTAAAAGTCTATTGTGCTATTGCTATTGTACTCAAGAGATCACAGCTTAAACTAAGGTGACAAAAATACTTTGTTCCTGGAGTTTTATATTTGGGTTTTACTCACCTATCTCTAATTTTTCAGATCACTCTTTTCCCTTCAGGATAGTTTGTGAAAGCCTTTATAGGAGGATGAAATTTACACAGCCCATAAGCACTTCTAGGAAAATTTCCCAGGTCTCCAGAGCAATTCTCACAGCTTAGCAACTGTGAAATCAGAAAGTTCAAACAGCAAACTTAACTCCCTCCTCAGGGTTATGTGCAGTTTCCCCTTAATCCAGCTCAGTGGAGATAAGGAGCAGCCAGTACTTCCTGCCCTGCCATACCTGTGCCAACCTGAAGCAGCCACTAAGTTACCCTGATCACTTTCAATTCTTCCTGCCACAGCTAAGAAATTTAAAGCTCTCAAAGCACCTCCAGGAGCTCCAAGAGACTTGAAGTCCCTTTAATTACCCAGGTGTCAATGGGAGGACTGCATTCTTTGCAGCTGTGTGCCAAAGTCTCAATGATCCACCCTGGGCTGGTAATGCCAAAGGATGATGGATACAGGTATGTCTTGCCCAGCTGCAGAGGGGGCAGGAAGGCAAAGGTTTGCAAAGCAGTTTCATATAAATGTGTGTGGATGCTCATCACAGAAGGGTACCCTGGGGGGACACTTGGAAGGAGAAAATTTGGGAAGAATCAAAACCTCAGCAGAGAGATGTAGCCTCTCCCTTGGGCTTCTATAACAGAGGAGTGCAAGCTAGAAACCTGCTTCTCACAGGTCTGGAAACTCAAAGTTGAAATCATGCCCTTCAGTATTCTGAGCAATACCCTCCCTTCCTTTTCCTGTCTCTCAGTGGCTGTCCACACTTGCTGTTCTCTGGCTTACAGCTGCCTCTGTCCACCATTCTAATCTCCACCTCCATCATCACATGTGCCCATCACCTTCCCCTTTTAGGAGAACACGAGTTATATTAGATTAAAGTCCACCGTAATGATCTCCTCCCAACTTGGCTGATCATATCTAACAGGATCCTACTTTTTTTTTTTTTGACAGTTTTGCTGTGTAGCTCAGGCTGCCTTGAACTGCTTCTGTATCCCAGGCTGGTGATCCTCGAGCTTCACCCTCCACAGTGTAGGACTGGCGTGCCTCATCATGCCCAGTTGATCTTACATTGAAAGATCATATTGTGAGCCAGGCACATGTGGTGCATATACCTACTGTGAGACCAGTTTTGGCTACATAAGTAAGTTCAGAGCCAGGCTAAACTATGTAGTAAGACCCTGTCTCAAAAAAAGAACAACAGCAAATCACAGTATAAGGCACTATAGGTTAAGACTTCAATGTATTTTTTTTGAGTCACATGAACAAGTGTGTCTGAGATGGGCCTGTGACAACGATCTGAGGAGCTGTGGTTTGGGAGGAATCGGAAACCCTGTCTAGTGAGTAGAGAGTAAGACAGAGGAAGGAAGGTGGGCAGTAAAGGGGCCAAGCCAGTGGCTATAGACAGCTTGGGTGAGACCTGGACCTTTGTAACCCGGAAAAACCCTGCAATTGTGAAGAGCACAAAGCTCTGTTACCTATCCCAGGGGCCACAGGCTGCAGAATTTACACACACCACCCTGTAGACACTGGAGGGCTGCTGTGGTGGCTGAGTCCACAGATTTTCACCTGCTGTGCACATTGGCTCTGCAGAAATCCTAGGGACAGAAATGGACACTGGCAGCTGGATATCACTGGAACACCAGGACATGTTAAAGCCCTGGAATGTGTGCAGGGTGCTGCCAGCCTGCTACAGGACCATGGAGAGAGAAGGTTTCTGTCCCTGCTTGAGCTACATGAAGATGATGCAGTGGAATGCTAAGAGTTAAATGTCCTAGGTTCAAATCCTGGCTTTTTCCATTTTTTCCCCATTTTTCTCTAGCTGTGTGACACAGAGGGAGTTAAGTAACCTCTCTGGGGCTCAGTTTCTCACATATAAAATGCAGAAGACGGTTCCTACCTCGTGTGAGGACTAAACAACTTACAAAAAGCAAAGCACTTAGAAACTACGCCTGGCATTTAGTGAGCAGTCGGTAAATGTTAGCTCCTATGATTATTTCCAAGGCACTCCCAGAATCACCCTTTTAAGTGCACAATTCTGATAGCAATATGTCTCCTTGGGAAGTAATGAAATAATGAAAGACGCTTTCGTATTGATACCAATCACACTGTGAAATTTAAAAAGAAGTCACTTCAACCATTTCAACCAGCATTTCATTCCCAACTCTGAAAACACCCTGGAAGCAATCATAAGAGCCAGCCTTTTACCAATGGCTCGTCACATGCCTGGCAGTTTCTCAGTGCCTTCTATGCTTTAACTTGCTTGTTCTAACTGGAAGTAGGCACTGCCTTCTGCTTCCCACAGATGGAGAAACTGAGGCCTAGAGAAACTCACACAATATCACAGGATGGAGCTTTCATGTCAGGACTGGCCTTCTTTCCTCCTTTCATTAATGAAAATCCTAACATCCAAGAGTTTACATTATCTACCCAGTGTCTTGAGCCAAACAAGGCTGCGGGACAATTTACCACCAAAGAGAAGAGAAAAATATCAGGGCAGAATGGAGCTACACTGGTTTTGAGACTCCTCAGTTTTTCAAATCGAAACACAGCACAGTCTCTCTCCCCAGTCACTTTTATAGATGCCTCCATCTTCTCTATCTTAGTCCATCTCTTCTAGGATGTCTTCCCAGACCACCCAGGCCTTTTTCAACTTCTGAGCTCCACTGACTCTTGGGTGTATCCAGTACTCGGACACACTGCTTAATTTGGCTGCTTAGACGTTTTGAGTGCATAAGATGTATCTTATGTCTTCCTCAAAGGCAAAGAGGCTCCATTTCAGTAAGTCTCAGTAGGTATGAAACTGACATTTATCATTTACATGAATAAACACCCCACCAATTCTCAGCCTGGCTCCTCGTATATAACACGTTCTCAATACATGCGTCTTAACTGATCACTGGGAGTGATGGTTGAAACTAGGATGAAGAAAAATGTATTTGATCTCTGTGCTTTATTCTTGGCCCCTCACAGCCCCTAAATTCCTTGGAGTTCTCCACGTGGTAGGGATATCTTTCTATTCATAAGAAGCCCCTGTTAGCTGTAATTGAATCTGTGCCAATGAGGTGACTCTGCTGCTGCCCCTGGACAACTCCAAGACAGGTGCGGCTGCCAAAGGAACCAACAGGTGATGAGAGGTTTAGAGGGTTCAGTCTTGGTCCTGACCTCCAGGGATGCAGAGGGGCTGCAGCTTGAGGTCACTCATCACTAACCCCTGAGCAGTGGCCTTGGAGGGCTTGGTGGCACCCAAAGAGGTCAAGGATGCCCCTTGCCAAGCCCCACCTTCCCTTGCCCTGTGTGCACCATGGAGGAATGTTTGTCATTCTTCAGTCATGTCCTGGATAAGAAGCCAGTGACAGTAAACACGGTGCTTTCCTTAGTTCTGTGGGCTGTTCTAACCTCTTATCAACTCTGAGGAGTGGGTCAAGGAAATTCTGCCTTCATAGTTGCTTGGTCAGAGCG